ATTTGGATAGATTTGATTGGAGTTTGATTACCCAACCACTGAACTCGGCAAATAAATTATCTGGCAGTCCTTACTATTTCACGACAAAGTACAAGAAAAAATCCTAAGCAATTATGGCATAAGATGGATCAAAATGAACATCCACAATGGAAGAACATACAACTCACACAGGTGATAAGCCGCACAAATGCGAAATATGCGGGAAGATGTCAAAACGAAACACCCAACATCCAAACATTCAAGAGGACACATCCGGAACATGCGACTCACACAGGTGAGAAGCGGTTCAAATGCGAAATATCCAAGAAAGATTTTGTTGCGCCACCGAGCACACACATGACGAGTCATAATCGCAAGAAGCCGTTCTTCTACTTGGAATGCAAGACGAATTCCACCTATACATCGAATCTGCATAGACATATGAGGATTCATACCGATGAGAAGCCGTTCTCTTGTCCGAAATGCAACAGGAGTTTCACCCATGAATGCAATCTGCTTACACATATGAGGATTCATATCGGTGAGGAGCCGTTCTCTTGTTCGAAACGTGGGATGAATTTCACCGATCAATTGAGTCGGCTTAGACATCATATTGATGAAAAACCGTGCACTTTGTTCTCTGTGTGATAGAAATTTCGTTCAATCAAGTGCACTGAAAAATCACATGAAGATTCATGACAACAATAGGCCCAGATTCAATTGCACTGCATGCGGTAAAGCTTTCTTGACGGAATCTCATGTGATATACATGAATAATTGCCTGTAAAATGAGCTGATAGACGTATTTTAGACAGAAATACTCGTTGCTACTTTGTTGTATTTCCTATAAGATAAATTCATTTTCCCTTTATTTTTTATTTTCCCTTATATTGTTAACATTCTATTGCTCTATACGCATATTAGTGTTATTATTCCTCTACCATTTTTTATTTTTCTTGTCTTAGCGAATAAAATCCCTCTTTCATGTCTACTTGCACCTTACTAAAATGCCCTTTTATTGTTGATGCATATATGACAAGCAGGTAACCATGCATAAGAACTTGCAATCAAGTGTCATTGTTACTAAATTACTGACGAAATGACATTGTCTCATATGAATCCCTCACTCGATTACTGCACAAATAACATAGAAATAAATTTTCGGCAACAAAAAGGCTTTTATTAATCACAATACTTGAAGTCTTCCATCACTTCATAGGATTACCACCCGTTTCATTTGCCAACTCACAGTTCCATTGCAAAGTCCCGTTGAAAACAATAGGCATTTCAGTTACGCCATTTGCAAGTGACATTTCATTCACTTGATAATCCATCCCAAACTACGGTCTCACACAGTGAGTTGCCGAATAGTCGATTTGCATTCAATAAATGTTCCAAATCGGTGATAAATCTAAGGAGTTTCAATGCAAATAGCACAAATTCCAATGCAATAGCTTCAATGCACAACTTTCAACACTACAATTTTCAATGCAAGTAGCAGCAGCAGTAGTACAAGCATTACTACTGGGAGTAGTTTCAAAAATGATGGGCAGTGCGCAACATAATCAGTGATTTTCTACGGTAAGCAATATATCAGACAGATGATACACCTGTCGCCGATTTTCTTCAACCGTGACAAAACCGAGGGTCCCTTCTACCTCTTTAATTGGTAGTACCTCAAACTTGGGTAATTGAACCTTTATTACGATAAATTTATTAATATAACAACGAACTCGCAATTACGACATCGATACAACATTAACGAAAACCAAACGGAAAGATTAAATCACACCCGATATCCTCCAACCAACCGACCTGTCGAAACACATCATTCGAAATGATTAGGCGCTCAGGATGGTCCGTTTCTCCCAGTGGGAGGGTGCCTGTACCGTTTATGATTGCAAGAATTAGCTTCCTCATGGAGCGCACATTGTATAGGGTTAAGACGATGTGGGCATATACAGGAAAGTTATCTGGCTTTCAACAATGGAGATTATTGTTCCTTTGTTTCCATTCCCCATATCAGCGACAACACATCAAAAATCAAAAATGGCAAAACATCAAATTTTCAGCAAACCTAAACCTTAGCCTAGATCTAGAAATCATGCATTTTTTAAAAATTTACATTAATCCAAAACATCTGGATGGGAATTCTTATGTGCGTTTGCTAGTGCACAACATGATCAGCGTGATTTTTGACAGTAAACAATATATCCGATCGACAACACACCGATCAAAAGTGATAAAAACCATATCGACAACCTTCATGTACCTACCTTCATGTATAGTAATGTAACAATAGCGATCACTGTTTATTCTTTTCTATGCTGAATAATTTCATTTCAGTTGCCATATTGCATTGTTAAAAATAATTTATGCAAAGCTCTCGCAACACTTTTTGCACAGTTTTGTATGGAAAGAAATTGCATGGGAATTATTTTACCGGATATGCAGCTTTCTCACAGCTGTATGTGAAATTTTTAAATAAGATGAAGTACTTACAAATTAATCAGCGGATGTGTACAATCTCAATATCAAAGAAAGAAGATATTTTCGTTCGATTGAGCTTAGATAACAGATTCATCACTTTAGACATAGAAAAACGTCATATGATTTTTAGGTAATGTGATGAGTCTTTTATCCGCGAAATGCTCTATACAACAAATCCTTTAATGCTTCAACATATTACAATTTCCCTAGAGTTTTCCGACACGATGTTTTTGTTTCTTTTGTACATACGCTAAATGAAGCTTATGAAATGTGGCACCCAATTATTTTTCTTGTTGTTTGTATTTTCAATTCACTTGTCGCACTTGAGGCATCATATATTATTCTAAACTATTCTTTGCGATGACATACAATGGCCTTGTTATTTTAACGATAATGTAGTTTGTCATACCAAGTAACGGATTATTTTCGTCATACTGTCTCACACTACACTATACTTTGTTGCGTCCGTATCATTCGATTTATCATTTCTCTACTCTGATATTGTATTAATTGTAATAATTCACTATGAATATCCTGAATTACCAACTACGCCATATTGTATAACGTTGTCCGCTGCATTGAGTTACATTGTTTCCTCTGGTGATATAACCTGTACTGTAATGTACTGTAGTCTTATATTTATGATCACTTCACTATACTATATAATTTCTGCATTTTGCTAGCAACTAATCCACGGTAAATCTATTACTGTACTATACAGCCGTACTATGCTACAATAGTACTATATCGCGTTGCTTAACATTTAAATAGCACACAAATGGAATCACATTGCTGCATCGTGTTGCACTATGCTTTATCAGCACTGTTACATCACATCGTCTGCTGTTATTCTCTATACCAATATTATATCATTAATATCACTGTAACGATCAGAGCACTTATTTTGACACATCTTGACATGTGACACCAAGTCATATTGCTGTTGTGAAATTTGAGTTTTTCGAAGTCCCCTCTGTTGTTATCGAGCAAATAATCCGTTGACTTCGTTTTTCAGCGATATAGGTTTATTCGGGATGTAATATTGTCCTCGCACAATATTACTAGCTAACAACAAAAAAGGTATAAAATATGTGTGTATATATTGAATGGTAAGCAGTTACAATAAATAAGCAATATGATCAATTGACAAATTCCTTGTCGTTGCTTTAATAGTTGACTGTCGTTTTATATATGTAAATATATATATATAAGGATTAGGGAGGAGTTTTGTAAACTCCATCAGGGTTATCATGGAGGTAAGCTGTCCTTTAGCATTGTCCACTGTATAAGTGCAACGGATACCATTGAGATGTATTTGTGTTATGCTCTCCTTTGTTAGCTTATATTCTCTTCATTGCTCTAATTTTGCAAAATTTCATTTTTGTTAGATATTGTAGAAATTTTACTTGAACATAGCTTTAATTTCGATAATCCGGCAGTTGTTGGTTGACACCGAAGACCAGTTGTGCGAAAGATTTTTTGATTTAGGAATGTCTATTGTTCATTTAAGTAACAAAACAAGTGTCAGCAAATGATACAGCTAGAGTCGATCGTGTTTATAGGTTCTTGTGATAATATTTGGGAGAGATTACTGGTAATTGAGTCGGATCACAAACTGATAGAAAATCTGTAAGCTGGATCTAACTGTGGGGTTGAGTTGATGACGGATGGTGTGGTTCCAAGTGATGATGATTGTTTGTCGGCTGTGGTGTTCCTTTCCTTGTACGATATATAGTTGGAATGGCTTAACATTCCAGACACGTTAACTTAACTATCAGACAAGAGGTTTTTTTACATTTCGATATTTACAGGTAAATGAATTCGTAAAAGAGAAATTATTCTTTAATTGTTTATATCGTAAAATTGTCAGGTAAGTGGTCATTGATTAAATGAACCAAATAAATCAACCAATCGATTACTAGTATAAGTACGATTATTAGATTATTAGTTGTTGCCATTAATGCTTGGTATGTGAATCTTTAACAATTATTATCAGGAGAGATGATCCTGTCTGTGATTGATAAAAATATGAAAAGGAAAAGTGACTGTTAGACATACTTTCTCTTATCATATCTCGCATGACACTTTATCGAAGGACATTGTCAAATCAAAGAATGCAATCACTAAGTCATATTTATAATTTTACTTTTAGACATATGTTAGTATAGGTTGAGAACGGTATGCTATGAAAGATTCGGCAAATTCATTGAGCGGGAAAAATGCCCAGCGCCACGATCCCTAGAGTTCTTCAACAGTTTCTGAAGTTCTCAATTTTTCCAACAGCACAAGCCATCTGTGGAAATCTCCGTGATCATTGCATTATTCATATCTTTTTCGATGTTTGCTCATTGGTGTGTCAGGCACATGGCCGTGCACGATATTCTAGGAACGATTTACTGAGCCCAGTTATACAGAATGTAGCTAACATTTAGTTTTCCAAGTCAAAATATCCCGGTTTTACTTGATCTCTAACAACAATTTTTACAAAATTATGCATGAATTATATCAGAATGTTACAAAATTATGCATGAATTATATCAGAATGTTGATGTTTCAAAAGAATAACAGGAGCCGGATATCTTGTATATCTTCCAGATATCCTGAATACTTCTATCAACAGCATAGTCAAATCTCGATTATCAGGATTATTCTTTCTTATACATGAAATTCAACAGCTGTCCTTAACAGATTTGTACGGAGTCATTTCAAAACGACAATCAACGATAAAGCACTGCACTAATTATACAAAACGACCACTACTGCACCAGTAGTTATAGATTGATCCTTATCGCTTATTTACATCATAAAAGAAAGGTGACAAGCAACATGACATATATGCATTAGATTTAAGACAGACAAAAAAAAGCAAAGATAAACGGTTTGCTAAAAAATTGAAATGAAAAGTTTTCTGAACGTTTGTGCAATAATGATGCCCATTGATAATAAAATCCAAATGAGACACTTTATGATTAGATTATAGAAGACTTAATGATGAATATCAAATGTCCAAAAGATACATCATTATGCTAATTAACTTTTGGTTAGCAAGAAATTTAGAGTTTGCTTAATAACAATTTAAAACAATCATGTGAAGTATGAGAATAAATGCCCAAAAATAGGCCAGCGTCATTTTATGCTCTAAATTACAGTTATAAAATCTTAACAAGAAGAAGTCAAAAAACACAGGAAAATAATCAAAATTACCTTAAACTACTACATTTGATTAAAAATCCAAATAAATGTGAATGCACTGTCCAGAAGACTGACATTTTAAGCAGCCTGTCTGAAGTAGCACAATAAAACTATCATCTTAAACAGATAAGTACCCGTCATATATACCCATATCATATTCAGAATGGTAATATCCATGCTATTCATAAAACAGTCCAAGTCTGTTGCGCAATAACCCATTCGTTTGTTTTAACAGAGGTAATCTTGGACATACAGCGATATGGTGAATGGCAAATGTCATTTCGAATCGAATCAAGTTGCTCACGGCATGCTTCCACTTCTTCCATTACCTAAAAAAATTGGAGATCAAAGGTAAATTGACAATACAGTGGCAACGAAAATATGATATTTCATATGTTGAATAACTTAAGCTGGCGCATTTCTTGCCATAAAATGTCCAATTTATCCATTATTTTTATTTCAAGAAAGTGTCGTTCAGTTACATTCTCGACAGTGATGCTATTTTTAATTAGATGAAGTGATAGGGAAATGAATCTAAATGACTTAATGGTTTTTCAAATAAAATTTACTTCGTTGTTTGTCTCAAAACCCCTCATTGGTTTTTATCACAGTTAATAAGGCGCTTTTCAACAGAATCTTATTGCGGAAATAAATATACATCCATTGGGTAAGAAAATGATACAAAGTAAACGTTCCACACGTGAAACACGAATCAAAGAATGCGACACATGACATGACACTTTTCTTCCACCCTTCAAATGCTTAATTTTTCTAGCACTATTGAAGAAAAATGATTCTTTCCTGGTCCGTAATCCCTCTTTAAACCTGGTGTGATATCATCATCTATTTGCAAGAAATTTAACCTAAAAAAGATGGAGGACATATCGCGATTTAGGAATTTTCATAGTTCTACAACCAAATACATGAATGGATCTCAAAAAAAAGGTGACTCGAAATTTTTTTCCGATACTTAATAAAATCTCTCATCCGGCTTTTCATTTCAAATAATCTTAAGTTATGAGCACTTCTAAGCTGCTACAATGATGGGAGCTTGAAAAAGCTTGGCTAGAGTAACCAAACTTGGCAGACAGTAGTTATGATGAAATCAGGTCCAAATTGTTGTGATTTCTTTCGAAAATATCTATTGTTTTGAGACATGAAAACCGTGAAATCGTCAATAATGACTTACTTAAATAGTGTCATTGTATAAGTGCATCAAAAATCACATTTTGCACGGCAAAAGTGTTTTATCCGCAAAAAGAAAAGAACGAAATGAACCTGGTTTCCTCTTTGGGGCCATTCATTTCCGTGTAATATTTTAGCTTCAGGAATTTGTCTGATCACTTTCAACCGGTTTTCCCATGACTTATTGCATGGATCAATAAATCGAGCAAGTGCATCGGTTCGCATTGTTGTATTTGATGACCATAGCTTATCTCGCATAACTCGTCTCAAAGATAAAGAAGGTGAAGTTCGAATCAATAAGTGACAATTTTGTATTACATATAGGAAGGATATGCCTTGTACAGGATATTCTATCCCATCTAACCTCAGTCTTCATGGGACTAAAATCTCTAATACTCACAAACCTGTTATATTTTAAAAGCTTCAGCAAGACTTTACGCTTTTATGGTCTAAATAAGCAATATTTTCTCGAAGGATTCGTAGGTCATCATAAATTTAAATCCAGAATACTTAAGAATTTAATAAACCTTAAATGAAAAACAAGAGCAGTTTCAGGTGGAACGACTGTTACGAGCTTTCCAGGTTCTGGTTTTAACACCTGATGTACATGTGTACTGTATATGTGCTCCGGAATCATGACTACCTGAAATGATGCTCCGACACTACGGCTGCAAAAACACCTAGCACAAAAAACTGATGAAAATAAGCACAACAGATAGCGAAATACATTTTTTCCTTCGAGAATGCATTTAGTTTTTTAAACGATGTAATCAAATCTGGTCATTAACTCCATAAGCAACTCGTGTTTTTTTTTAAAAAATTAAGCCAGATATACTCAAAGAGCAATTTTTGAACAATAAAAAGTGCCCAAATCTGAAATGAAGACTTACTTTGCTCCGAGAACCAACTGGCCAAATATAATTTTCCAACGAAATATTTGCAAAACTACTGAAATCAATATCTGTCGGCTTGGAAATATTAGTCCAATGATTCTAAAAATTGTTAAAGTCATTAATGGTGCTTTCCGACCAGATGAATCAAGCAGTGAAATATTTTCAAATTATTCAAGTTTAGCCGAAACTCTAACACTACCTTTTGGTTTGATTCATTTCAGCGTAGTTCGATCTCTTTGATCAAATTATGCGCTATTTTGTCCCAATCTCACCTTATCCCCGCACTCTCCCATAAAAACTCAGCGATCAATATGACAATCACTATGACGCGGAAATGCGCGTTTTCCTCTCAAAATGTCAATATATAAGGTGAGATTGATCATATTTCCATTATGATTTAGTATTAATTGTGGAATCTCTTATCACTCTTTTCCGCCGACATCCCCTTAAATGGGGAAGAAGCTTGCATGCTCTTATGAGATGAGAGCATTGTCGCGAATTTCAATATCGCGAAATTCCAAATAAAAAATAAATTCCTTATTCAAATTGTAAATAAATGTTAACAATAGTGTGAAGCATTTAACCAATTTACATTCTTTAAAATTATTTCCCATTACGTTTTTTTTTTTGTTATCTTTGTCGAACGGAAATTCACATCTTTATTTTTTTGACAAAAGATGTCCAATTTACATGCTAACCTTTCCATCTGATCTTGTTACAATGCTTATGTAATTGGATCTTTACAGTTTCCTTTGTATCTAAAAGAACACCCTTTTTTAACGGTTTATGTGAACCACTCCCACTCCATTAAGACATATATGCAGCTCATTGTAAGATAAAGGAAAAAATTCTTTGCTCCTGTATCAACAAGACGGTTATACCCCTTCTCTAGTAAACGGCTTTCGTCACCGATATTCTTTTTGTTGCTTGCTCAATTGGTCTTATTCATCACATTTATATATATTAGTAAAAGTTGTCCTTTCTGCTGGGTCATTTTCGTGGCATAACTGACGCGCTTACGATCTTCCACCTTAATAAGGTAAGCCTTCGTTAAAATTTCTTGTGTACCTATAACTCACAGCGAAACCTTTCAAACCTTTCACTCCGCAACAATATCTGGTGCAACTACAACACAATATAACCGAAGTCAAATAACCTTACTACAAGCCAACCCCTTAAAGTTTCTGATTTTTCCTGACCACTGACTAACCACAACAAAAACAAACCACGACAAGCATTGCGAGCAATGGCGATGGCAATTGCTACCGGTAGGGCCACCCATGTCAGACAGGTCTCAACTGAAAGGTCAAACAAATTATGTATACGTGTAAGATGGGTCATTAGTCTTCGAGTAATCATGAAGGACAACTGTGATCCCAAACTCGGGAGATGGAGCTCGTTTAGTCTTGTGAGGCCATCTATCTCAGAAGGATACACCAACTAAACCTATGCTTTAATGATTTCGCTGCCACTGTCCAAACTCGCTAGCCTCTGGCAGATGAATCTTAGGACTGGTAGGACCA